GTATATCGTTTCGTTTGATATGTATAACATTATTATTTATTATTATTATTATTATTGTTAAACGACAATCGTTGAGCAATTTATATCAATCATACTTTTATTATATATCATATATGTTGCTATAATGATATAAATAACGGTTTCTGTTACGTTATGATTGGAAACTGCAGGAGGAATAATATCGAACACTGTCGTCATTTTCAGACCAGTTACATATATTGCTGCAACATTAGCGTACTCAATGTTCATTGGGAAGCAATATACGCCGTAACATTTACATTCAAATTACAGGTAAACAATATTGTGCCAATGATTATTATCGGTGCAACTGTGGTTACACAAGTACACTACGAATCGTGTACGAATAATCGTTAATAGACGAATCGATTAACACTTGACTACCCTCGTACAATTAATTTTGTTTGTGCACGGAAAGAACGATTTTGCTGTATCTAAAAATTTAGCTCGATACAGATCTGGAAAGAATTTTGTTATTCATCAAAATAATTATGTAGAAAATTCAATTATCCTATGTTATTATTTTGATAGTTTATATAAAATAAAATTTCTTTAGTTAAAGTTTTAGATACTTCAGCAAAACTATCCTTTATATATAAAAAAAAAATATAATATATATATATATATATATATATATATGTGTATGTATCAGTATTTATAGTAGATTTATAGACATCAGTATTTATTTTCACATATTATATTTGCATGCAAACGTAATGTATATAACTTTGAAGACTCTTAATTTTTTTCAGAATATTATCAGCATTTGTAACTTCATATGTATTAAAAAATTCAAATCCAGCTTGATCGGATTGAATTCTTCCCCAAGCAACTACGGCGTAATCGTACGATTACGAGGGCTTCTCCAGGATGGAGATCTATTCTTGCTTAACATCCTATATAGAGATGTGGCTACTCGCAGAAGCCCAAAGCCAACCGGGCATCAATATTAATGGAGCTATGCAGCATTTAAGGCGGAATAATGTATAGTGATCGCATTGGATGAGTGTACGTTGAGATTGTATATAGGTATATGCATACACAAAGCTTGCACGCATGCACGCACACACATACAGTAGGTCGCGTGTGTGGCCTCGCATCCTATCGGTATCACGACCATAATGTGTCACCACCGATCGACTAGGACGCGTAATTTCAATCGCGGCGTACCCATTACCATGTCATTATGTCACGATGTAATGATGTAAACTAATGCTTCTCCCATGCAAGCACGCAAATGTAATATTTTGAGGTACGGTGTAAAGCCAAAGTTGTGTGGTGGCAAACTTGAGTATAGCTTTAGGCCGATGCGATTAAAATTGATCATCGTAGACTTTAAGGGATACAGTAAAAATCGAAATTGCTTGAAAAATAGCAGCGCAAAAATCGAAGAATCGATATTTTTTGCATAATTAGATAGTATAATTTTGCAATTTACAATGATTTAGAGATAAATGTCTGTTTACTCCAAGAAGAAAGTCCCTTAAGGAACATAAGTGATAATGATTATTAATTTTACTATACAAACATTATCTGACATAAAGTATATTAAATTATTTCGCCATTAAATTTGGCACGTAGTTGTATCAAATTTGAATTTAGCAAACACAAAACAATGAAATAAAATATAATATTTACGACGATATGTTTATTTTGCATTATATTTATAAAATCATAATTTACTAATTCTATATTAATTGATTAAGATTTATTGTTTTTATGTTTCACAAATGTTCTAACATTATTTTTACGAATTCTCCTATTTGAAACATATTTTATTCACAAATCCTCACTTCAGATATTAAAACAAAAATTATGAAATTATGTAAAACTTTTTCCCTAATTCATTATAAAAAATATCTTAATTAATATATAATAAATTATTTGTTTACTGCTCAATTCACCATGAAAATAAATTCAAAATTTATTTAAAATACATTTATATACACTAACACGCAAAAAAAAATACATCTCAAATTAAAGCTTAAACATTCCCTTTGATAATCGTGCAGATTAAATTTGAATTACACAAAATGTATTACAAAATAACAGATGTTAAAGACGGACATAGAAACGATAGGAAAAAAAATTTTATTTAAATTATTGCGTGACTCAGAGGAATTGGTTGTCAGGCACAAAAACAGACTTTGCGCGATTATTAAAATGAGCTTTAATTTGAGATGTGGTTCATCTCGATACGATGATTTTTCACTGAGTTATCGCTATTTAAAAATAATAAAAATATTTGCTAAAATTTAGTGGTCCACTTTTTTGAGTGTAGTTCATGGATAACGGTACGAAATAAGTGAAAATTCCGCAGCATTAAGAGATTATATATAGCTGTACATATAGATCCTCGAAATATATTTTTCCTGAGTACGCGAAAGGAAGATATAAATTTTACCAAACGGCCAAAGATATATACGCTGTCTTGGAAGCAAGGTGTCGCACACGCGTTTTATGGCGTGTAATTTCAATAACGACGAGTGTATTATCGTGTTGAAATATATATCACAGTAAATCTGTGTTCCGTATATCGATTCACATATCACTTTTGCGTGCAGGAAATACTGCTGAGAATTTATCTAAGGATATTAGTTTTCTTAAATCGTTATTATATACAATATTATAATATTTTATTGCGTTATATTAATTCAGTTAATATTAAAGGATTGCTTTTAATCACTTATTGATTAAAAATAATTGATGCCTTGTAATTAAGAAAAAAGATGTATACTTTTTCTTTCGTGCGCGACATCAATTTTAATATTCAATTTTCTGATCGACAAAACTAATTTATTGCGACAGGATGTCGAATTCTTGAAGAGAGAAAATTGTAGAGAACTCTCAAATTATATAAACTGTGAGATTTTATATTTAATAAAATAAAAAACCTTTCTATAAGGAGAAATGCTGACAAGAAATTAAAAAAATATATTAGAATTTTTACTACTGTAAGGATGCCCCGAAACTACCGAATGTGACATTCAAAGTGTCTATCCTTCGACAAATTTGGAACTTTTTCTCTCTGTTCGACGTTGATTTCGATATTAAATTTTCCAGTGTAACGACAAAACTGATTTATTGCGACGGGACGTCGATATCGATTCCTCGAGGGAGAAAATCTCGCATGACGCGAGTTGCGAACGCGCACGCGGCGCGGAAATTGCGCGACTTTTCTTCTCGAGATCTCGGGCGCGAAGGGACATCCCCGAGATGGGAATTTTCGAATATATTTTCATCTCGCAGTAAACTCATACCGCGCGCGCGGAGAAGCCTGTCGGAAACCTGCTTCGCCAGTCGTTGTGCCCGGGGAAAACGCGGATATGAAATTTGAACTGCGGAATTTCGATTGGTTCTATCGACGCGTTCTTCGCAAATTAGCTTACTCGTAGGTGGGGAGTGGAAAGGGAGACACAGAATTCAAATTTAATCGTACGGCAGCCTTTGCAGTTCCAAACAGGGTTTGCCTACATAGGGAAGTGGCATTATTAGCTTCCGAATCGAACCAATCAAGTCGCTTCCTTATTAAGCCCTGCAGGGTTCCTCTCTCCCTTGTCCTGCTTGTCTCGATTTGCCGTCATAGAAACGAATCTCTGAAATGTCTTTCGTCGTCTCCCATATAATTCTCCTTTTTTGTACGATTGTCATACCTGTTTTTTGATATTTGATTTTTTGTGTATCGGCCGATTTGGATGAAACTATTAAAGTTGCCAAAAAAATTAATTTTCAAACGAGCAACAATCAGTACCTTTATTGTACTTAACCGGATCTTTGATGGAGAGTTTAGATTACAGTCATTTTATATAAATTACCAATATCATAAAATACTCGTAATTAAAGAATTCTCAAATCGTTTGATACAAGTCTGTGACAAATTGGATTCTTGATCTCAATCGAGGAATTTGGCAAATCTATTTTATCGATCAACATAATTGATCTATTGTTGACTGAAGTATCCAAATGTTCCTAGTTTTTGTCATCTGGCGGGATACTTATTATTCGAATTTTTTTATATTTTTTTTTATATTCTTTTATATTTTTTAATACTTTTTTGACACTTTTTATTTTTAAATTTTGCATCCGTTATTTTTTATTCGTTAATGTAAGATTGTATTTCTGGATTGTAATACTGAAGAAGGCTTTGTAAGCCAAAACGTCTGTTAATTATATTAATTTAAAGTTAATTTAATTATAGCTCGAAATAAGCCATGACATTGTTAATTTTTTGCCAAAAAAAATTTCGACTTTTTCGATCTAAATTCGAAATGAATATTGTTATTATTTATATATATTTTTCCAGTGTTCTTCTGATGAACATTTATTCTTTATATGAAATAAAATATTGTTACGTTCTACAATATATTTCTATCAATTAGTAAATGTACATTTCTTAATTTATTTTATTACGAGTATTGGAAATATCATTCTCGTTTTATTAAATAATGAATAAAATAATAAGAATATTAATGATATGATAATAAACTATAATATCAAACTTATATATTTATATATATATAATATGCGTTAATATATTGATGCGTTATATATTAAAGTCTTTGTGTTTCCTTTAGGATAAGTCAATTATCCTAAAAGATACTTTGATGCGGTTCGCCATCAATGAAATATTCTTATCCCATCTTCCCGTTTTAGTAATGAAGAATTCCCAAAAGAAAAAAACAAGGAAGGACGAGAGAGAGAGAGAGAGAGAGAGAGAGAGAGAGAGAGAGCGTGTGTTTGTGTGTGCGTGAGTGTGTGAGTAAGAGCGTAACACAATTAAAAAGGGTTCTCCGGGTCGGTTTCTTGCTTGTCTCGGCAATTTCGCCCGGACATGGGGAGGAAGTATTCGGTCATTGCGGATAGACGCGATCAATAGCAATTTTAATTGCTAATTAAGCGCTAGTTAGATGGATATGTGTTTCGTATTTAATCCTGCGATAAGACGATAAGGTGATAGGGGTTGCAAGTTATACAAGGCTTACCCGTTTGTGGTTGAGTCAAAAACATCGTTGTAGTCCTCGTCCGTACTGTAGTCCTGCACGTCAGTATCCGAATCCTCGACATCGCCATTTCCACCTATAAGAAAATAATTTTCGTATTAATTCTACATCTACTTAGTTATATGATTATATTTAAGTATATTATATGTATTTATTTCTGTATTAATTTAGCAAGCAAAAGATATGTATTGTAATATATCTATATATCAAAACTTAATGCTAAGCTTTTAAAGATAATAATTTTATATAAGAACATAAAAACTCGCTTAATTTTTAATTAAATGAAAAGAAGAGAAGAAGTCAAAGTTTTATATGAATAAATAATCAAATTCCAGTTTATTTTCTTAAATCACGCAGAGAGAACGATTTTGCTGAAGTATTAAAAAATTTGGCTAGTTACAAATCTGAAAATAATTTTATTAGACCATCAAAATAGGTAGACACTCAAACTGATAGCTAAAATTGCAAAAAGTTATGACATTCTAACAATCAATTTGAGCGTCTTATCTAAAAATTTTGATGGTCTAACAAAATTATTTTCAAATCTGTATCTAACTAAATTTTTTGATACTTCAGCAAAATTGTTCTCTTCGTACACGTTTTGGAATTATGTCACAAGATACAGTAATCTAATTTAATAGAAAAAAAAAACAAATCTTTTGCGATTCTGTCATTTTTCACTTGTTTCAATGTTCAATTTCAGTGACCATGACTATTGAATGAAGTTTTGCATTTTCTTGTACTAATAGAACGGCAATTAACGTTCTTATGGTAAGTTTCTTGCGAAGTTCATCGTGAAACGAACCATTGTCGATTCAATATTGATGTTAAATCGAGAGTGGATCAAACTCAGTTGGAGGATTAAATTAATTCTTGTGCACATTTCCGGTCAATTTGATTTCAATAGAACTTAATTATCAGTTACGATGATCAAATATTATCCGAACACTGTTATTTTATGAAATATTGGAAAGAATATGGAATTAACTTTTACATATCATTATTTAATATAATCATTATATTATTTTTTCAATTACTAAAAGCAATTTTATTAAACATAAATGTAAATTATAATTGCTGTTATTTATTAATAGATATCGGTAATAATAACTATTTTGACTGTAACAATTAAGAATTAATTAATTAAATAAACTAAACAAAAATAATTCTACATTTTATTGCGACATACGTGCTTTAATCAAAATTATTCTTGGCTAATAATTTTTTTCTCAGGGAACATTAGTAGCGTTTCCACTCTTTATCATCGTTTTTATATCAACCTAACGATTTTTTCAGTATCCCTATGCACAGGAGATTCGAAAGGGTTAACGCGTTGAATTCCCGACATTCCGTCGATTAAATTACAACCGGTACAACGGATATATTTGCCGAAGTCGGAGGGGTAATCTCCATGCACACAATCATAACTTACTCGCACGTCTTCCGGATCCTAGTAGGTAATATATTTGGCTAGACGGTGCCGTCAACAAACGATATCGTCGGTCGGCGGTGCCGCGAGATTAATTTGTGAATCGTGATTAAGGTCGGCATGTTCCTGAGGTTGTTAGCGCGGTAATGAGTAATCCACCGGCGAAAGAGGTTTAATATGGAATCCCATTCTGTGGGATGGTACACATGACATTATTCAGCATGTTATAATTGAAGAGCTGACGCAAATAATAAAATTATCATATTTATAATTATCATATATTTTAAAAATCATTTGAACGCGCAATAAAAATGTGTAAATGATAAATATAGAAATATTAGGATACAAAACAAGAATTGAATCTTTTTTCGTTTTATAAATAAAATTTTACTGTACTTTTACATTTATAAAGTAAATTGATATCATTTCGATGTGCAATATAAAATATTATTTAATAAATTTTCTGCAGAATAAGACTTTTATAATTAATACTTTTAATTATTATTCAAATTATACAAGTACACGCATAAAAGCATTTTGTGCTTCTTACTTACTGGGCGACGTACCGTAACGTGGTTTCAAAAGAGTGCAATTTTGTCGATGTTATGTAATAATTCCATTCATAAAAGTTGGCAACATCCAAGCGCACGTCTCGTAGTATACTGTACGTGTAAAGTTTTTGGCTTGGCTCGCAGCCGTAGCCAAGCTATTAAATAATCGAGTAAATTATCCACTCTTTCAATATCTCCCACAACGTCAGCTGAGCGGATGCCAAGAACAAATTTAAACTTTTCTTCGCTCCCTCACGAGCATCGCCTTTCGATCCATTGACTAACTTGATTTATCCACCACACACATTAGACGTTGATAGCTTACAAAAATGTTGTAACTCAAAATATTAAATTTCTCAGTGTAGAAGGTTCTATACGTACTTTTCTTTAATGGAAAAGATTTTTTAAAACATTGAAAACGTTAAAATATTTTCACAGTAATAATGATATTTTTCCACTAAAGAAAGATAAATTTTCGTGAAACAACACTGAAAAACTTGGATAAAAATTTTCCAATAAATATCCTAAAATACAAATACAATCTGTCCTAGAATTATTTGTTGGCTTGTCATACGGCTTGATATGTAACTTCATTTTATTAGCATGAAACATATATTCCCATTGATAGATACTTCAAAAATAATTTCTGAGTTACAATCTTGTTGTATCGAACCATCGATTTGATTATGTGATCCATCACGATGGAACGATAACAATTTTTTTTTTTTGTCAGTTTGCCCCCTCTCGTACGTGCTTTATCGTAGATGGGCTGCGACGCCGGGATTTTGATCGGATACAGAGAAGTTTTGCAAATATTGATATGGGAAAAATACGAATTTTATTCACCGTGTATCTGCGATGCGTCCCGCTCGGATTGTAAAGTGACGTTTAACTTCGAATTTCGTCTGCGCCGCGAGTTTTTCGGCGAACGCACGATAAAAAATCCACTCAAAATAAATATGAAAAATCTCTGGCCGATGTAAAATAAAAACGCGCGCAGTATATGACAAATACCAACGTGCGCGTAGAGCTCCCATCTCTATACTTCTACATCGAGATTGTAATATTGATTGACAAAGCCGTGTGACGTTTTTAATATATGAAATATGTAGGAGATACACGATATATCGACGCAGATTTTCCGATCGCGCAATCAATGACAAAGCACTCTGTAAATCAAGCACTTGTAGTAAACAACAGCGGTGGATTTATATGCTTCTATTTGATTCTTTTTTAATACCAAATTTAGTTTTTAGAATTCATATTTTACTAAAAAAAAAAAAAAAAAAGTTACTGGCAATACTAAAAATATTAAAACTATATGACATATTCATTTTAACGGATGCTTTTATATTTCATAAACTTAATAAAGAAAAATACGGAACAATCTTTCGTCATTATTATTTACAATTAACAAAATTACATAATTATTTATAGAATACATAATTCCTCCACAAAAATGTGATAAGATAATTTAATTTTCACGTATATGTATAATTAATAGAAGAGATCTTGAAGAGAAAATTTGGTTAAAATATTGAAATGCGGAGAGTACATTAGAATTTTGATCTTCCTCAACGAGGATTCTCTGATTAAGCAAGCCGTAGTTTAATCTCGCCTATCAGCGTTGCAGTGATATTACAACGCGTTGAGCAGCCGCTTCGTTACCGCCGCGTAATTGTCGCTGCGAGATTGCGGCCGCAGAAAACCGACTCTTGCACTCTTTCGCTCGCACCCATTCTCTCCACCATGACGATTCATCTAATACGAAAGTAGTACCGCGGGACATCGAGGAGAGTGACTAATCCCACTGCTGTCTGTCGCTGACAGAAGCGTTCTCCTAGGACTCATAAAAACAGTAATCTAGAATCCTCGCGTCATGCACTTATTCCGTGTAACAATTCCACGTATCAGTAAGAGCTGTAAAAATGGCGAACGGTGACTGGCTGTCAGATAATCGCGCAGATGTCAGGCGAAATCAAGCAGATTATCGAAGAGAAAAGATAATAGAGTCACCTAAACATTTGTTTTATAGCTTGCGTGTATAATACTCTCTTTCAAATTTCTTTTCTATTATTTAATAAATAAATTGTTACATGACATACATATTTTCGTTTATATAAAAATGCAGAACTTTGCAAGGCATTTTAGCAAATAATTAAAGATATTATTTTTTGTTATTATACAGATAATAGCAAAAAAATACTTTTCTTTATCGTTATTGAAATGGTTATATAATATATAATTATCATTATATATTTGTATTTAAAGATATTCAAAAAAATCTTTTGTTCAATATCAACGCGCTCTTTGCCATGCATTATTAAATGTTGTGAATATTATATTAGGAATTTATATTATAATCTCTTTGTAAATAAAATTCTTCATCGGAAAATTCTATTCACGTCACAATTTTGGATTTCTGATAAACGTTATTGACGTGCAACATTAGCCAATGCAGTCCGGCACATTGTCGGAAGTACACAATTCTGGCATCTCTATATTTCGCGCATCCGCACGTGCGTTCTATGTTTACATCGTATGTACACCAGTTGGCAAATGTCGTCAACGCAGGTTTCATTTTGAATTACCGGTTTGATGATAACGCGAATATAATGAGATTTACCATCATCATTCGTGAAAATCGCTACAAAATTTACTGCTTTAATCATGCTCGCTGTAATCATCGAAAGTGGTACATTTATATGATTAAAAACTTGGTTGTATTTTCCGTTCTCCATACAAGTTCCTTTTTGACATTTATTTTATTGTCATTTTATCGATATCGCAACTCTAAAATAAAATGGACACAATCGGAAATATTTGAGCATCAGAAAAGATAAAATATGAACGAGCATTGCCCTTTTTTTTTTCAAAAAATTATTCGATGTTTTATTGACATTTTTGTCATTTGCGTTAAACTCATTGAATCTATCGAAATGATTCTAAATATATCCATACAAATGATTTATTACGAACAACAGCATCGAAAAAATCACAATAATTAAATTATTGTAATGCAGTCGGTTTGAATTGCAATTTAAGTTAAATTTCATGGGTCGTTGAGTACCGCCACCAAAACTCCTTTCGAAAACG